AAGAGGCATTATAAATTATTGAGGAGCAATGGAGTATAGAAGAGAGATATAGACGGAAGGTGTCTCATCAGCAGGCGTCAAGCACAGCAGATCCGACGTATGTCTGCCAAAAAAAAGAAGACAAAAAGGGAGCGCGACTGTTGAGAGAGAGAGGCGCCAACATCACGAGACGACAGTACGCCATCCCTCTGGAAAATCATAGAACGCAGCAACGCGAGGGGCTGTAATCCTGTAGACGGCAGCAGCCGTGCGGTCTCGGTGGGGTATCTGGCGAGAGTCGTGGAAGAATTCATCTCCGGCAGGCCCTCGGCACTCCGTTCCGGCGCCGGTGGGGGCCACCTCGGAAGCTGCTGACGACGAGCATTGGAGGACGTTCTGGTGGATTCGGGAGGAAAGGCTGCATACAGGTGGGTTCTGCACCACAACAACAAGTAAGATGACTTAGCTTTCCCGCCCCTGACTTGAAAAGTTTGGAGTCCTCAAGATGAAGGGAGGGGAAAAGGAGGGCGGACGGGCCATGGCGTGAGGTTCGTCTGTTAATGACCCTCCCACCTCTCCATTGCCACGTGAAGCTACTTTGACCACGTGAAGAACAGGCCACTCGGAGTTTGACTCTGCCGTTTGCCGTACATCTCGGTAACCCAATCGCTCTCTGGTTTTCTAAGGGTTCTCCAAGCTCCGTCGGCGAATGGGGAAAAGTTGCAAGAGGCTCTCGGGCGATGGCATTGCTCGAGTCAGTTTCTCGCGTTGTTTGTTTCCTTCTTCTTGCGTGAGCGGGGAGTTTGTGCCGAGAAGTGTGGGAGGATTTGGTGGCCCGATGGAAGTTTGGAAGCGTCGCTGATCTCCCTAGTGCTCGTAGGGCTGTCGAGCTGGCTTCTATGCATGTAGCGTCGTACCAAGAGCTTCTCGAAGGCCCCCGCGATGAGCTTCAAGGACTTTGGGAAACTTTGACAATTCTGGAAACCAGAGTCTTCTCGGCACAGACAATGAGGACCATGGGCGGTCCCCACTCTCAAACGACGACGTCCAGCGCATAGAAATGTATGGTGGGAAATGTACAACCGCGGTTGGATCGAAGCAGCCCGGCTGCGGGCGTTGCATATCGCTTTTTGGCTACATTTTGACGCGGCTCCCGGCTACTGCAAAGGTGGTTAGACAAGTGGCAGCTAGGAACGAGCCCCGGGATGGGGAAGGAGGATTTGGTGGCTGACGCCCTCTGTTTGAGTTATACTTGGAAACCTCGATGCGCTTGTAGATGCAGAGATCCTAGCAGCCACGAGCCATGGGTAAATGGAGAATGTTGATGCCTAGGTAATGGTTGTCATCGAGCCGCATTGGTGACTCGGGTGACGCCTCTCTGCTTTGGTAGATCTTCCTTTGATCCCATTGAATGCAGACTGCATGAGCGTCCAAGGAGGAGCAAGATGTTTGACAGAACTTTGTGAGGTGTTGGTAGAATGTGATACACCCAACACTCCTCCCTCGGCTTGCTCTCCCTCCTGTGATGTACAGATGTCTGGCCATAACAAAGTCGCTGCGATCGGATAACGACTGGAGCCTGTGCAGCGGTATAGTGCCAGCAGCGTGCAGCCGGTACGTCGAGGCGCAGAAGCCAAAGTTGGAATATGAGAGTCAACAGGTGGGAAAATGTGTACACGTGCTGGCTGAAAACCGTTTGTTTGTTGTATCATCAACATAAAGGGGAATCGGTCACTAGGTTGCGAGAACTCAACCTTCGAGACGGCGCTGGCGGAGCCCAAAAACTGTTGGTTTGTGGCCACGGACTACTATGTATGATGGACGAAACTTTGACAAGGAACCTCCTGGACCCAAAGGCCATGGGTGCTCTATTCCTCGATCCTTGTCGCTCATGGAAGGTTTGTTTTCACCGCGGGACGCAGGTCTTTCCGTGAAACAAAGTCATGAAACCCGGGATTATATCCAGAACGAATATGGATCTCATCAACTTGCACATATCCTCTGCCAAATCTGGTGCCGAGTACCATCGCTTTCGGCATTTGTTTTGAATAGATTCCCGCCAGGATCAACTGACAACTGCGAATGTGACGCTAGAAAGTCCGAGGTGCGGAGTGAGCTGCCGTCACTGAGTCGTGTTCCGAGGTGGTTGGAAATGTGATTGAGTGACTAGTCAGCAACGCACGAGCAGTGTCGGGAGCCGTCATTCTGTGTTGTCCACGCGCAACATCGTATCCACAAAATGTCCGTCGAGAGGCATGAAACGGGGTATCCGGGACAGAGAAGGTGACTCATGTTTTGTTGGAGACATCGTGAGGTCTCTTCATACGAGTATGGAGGGCCATGCGATGCGCGACATAAAGGGGCATAGTTGCTGCTTGGGACCAAACGTTGTCAGCCGCGGATTACTCAACGACTATGATGGCTCACCGAGTTCGCACAACATAGGTCGTGTCAGCGAACAGAGTGATGGGAACCGATCGTCCTAGGAGCATGGCAAAGTAAACAGACGACACCGTCCATGACCACCGATGGCCTTGGATGATGGCTACTTTGTATGCTGAGTCGAGATTAATCAGCCAATATCCAGTTCCGAGGGTAGCTTGAGATGCCTCATGGACAGCCCGATGTGCAATGGATAAAAAATTCGGCCCCTCTCCAGCCTTCATCCGCATTGACTGGGCGCACCAACAAGTGCTGTCACCCGACGCCGTGGCCAAGTCTCGACCAAAGATGTAGCTAGATCAGGGAACGAAGGCAGACGATGACTTTCGGATGATCAAATGGGGCAAAATATGACGATTAAGCGCATGTCACTGTCAGAGATCTCTGGAGCTCATGGTGAGACTGCTGTGCCCCGTTTCGGGGTCTTTTTGTTTTGGAAAACGGGATGATGGAAGATGGAGAATGCCAACGCGCGGTGGGATGATGGTATCGTAGTCCGATGCCAGGCCAGCAAGGCCTCTTCCGCGGTGTCCAAGTTTCCTACGTCTCACGCAGTCCACATTTGCTTCGACCAGGAGATGTGCGTGCATTTGCCTGCCCCAGAAGAGGTTATTGGGAGTCGTTGTGCCATCATTAGGTAATGGAGTGGCTCAGTCTGACATACTGCTGAGAATATCCGCATATTTCCGAGCAATGCGATGCGGATTGCCAGTACTCCGTACCTCGCAAGCCTATGGGTTGGACGGTGGGTTTGCGGTTCGGCTCCACCGACAAGAGAAGGCGGCTTGGAGAAGGGCAGAAGATATTAGGTGTAAGACATTATGTCTGAACTTTGAATACGTACGGTACTTGATGCGAGACACTGGCGAATGAGGCATCAAGTCAAGGAACGTCGCTAATACCCGGCGGTATCAATCTCCTTCTCTGCCACAAATAGTAATAGTTGCCAGTTGCAGCACCGTCTCCGATGCATGGACCTTCCGCACTGGCCTGGTAAGGCGCAATGATTCGCACTAGCCGAAATGAGATACAATGTCTGAGGCAGAACGGGTAGAAAGAAAGAGACTGGCTCGAGGAAGGGAAAGCGATGGCTACCTTAGTGGTCCTATGTACCTAGGTCGATGCCACCTTGGGAAGACTTGGGAAGATACGAGATACGAGGCACTCGCCCATTGAAGAGCATTGGAAGCAAGTCAGCTAAAGCCTCTTTCCAATTGTGGTTGGCACATCGTACGTGGTGCGCCAAATTTGGGTCAACCACAGACGGACCAAGACGAGAAGTAGCGGTGTTTGTTCGTCTCGCGACTTGAAGTGTCTTGGCGTGGCTTCGGCACCTTTCATCGTGACCGGCCCGTCCATTGCTCGAGAGAAGGAGAAAAAAGGTCAAATGCGTGATGTCTCCAACGGGACGGCAGGGGAGGAACAGAAAGTGTACCAAATTAGGAAAATCACAATACAGTAAGGTAGAAAGCGGCTCAGCCAGCTCATCGACCTGCAGCGTGCAGTGTGCATCCTATCTGCAAGGTCCCGAGTTGCCCCCACCTCGTACTTGTTGCCATTGATTGGACAGGACCAGAGTGTGGAGGGCAAAGACGACGATGCGAAATGGAGAGAAAACCGGCAAAAGACGGGTCGAATGATCCTGACAAGCACCATGATCCCGGCAAAGCCACGCGGGCAGAGGAAAAGCAAGAGGGTGTGGTGGCCTGGTGGGTGGTGCAGAAGAACGACAGTTGCGGTTCTTCACCCTCTCTGGTCACTGGTATCTGATACAGCCCCCCATTCGGCCAAGCTCTTGCCGTCGCAAGGTACGGACAATAAATAAGGTAGCCTACAGCTAAGTACCTAAGGAGGTCCGTACCTCGAGGTACCTAAAGGTAGCCTAGATAACAGTTGGTTCAAGACGGCGGAACTTTGGCAGAAACTCGTTGATGCAGCCTGCGGAAGGTTTGCGCGTTCGCCGTTGATATGTGGTAAAGGAAATGATAGTAAATTGCCCATCTTTCTGCGCATTGCTTTAATTTGAAGGAACTGGATGGGCAAACCGGCTTGCATTGCAGTTCCAATTGCAGTTGCAGCTGCGGTTGCATTTTGACGAATATTACCTACACACAGCCGCCTCCCTTCTTTGCCTGCTCCGGCACCCTGGCTTGCCGGCTTGCAGCTTCAGACATTTCTCTTGGGACCCATTTTTCTTCTTGCCCCTTCAGGCCCTTCCCTCGACCTCCTCGTCGGTAAGCTTTGGGGTATCCTCACGCGTGACGACACCATCGTCGCTGGCCTCTGTTCCGTCTTCTGCACGCCCCAGTTCGGCATTCGTATCCTCCAAAGTTGACTTGCCCACAATCATCGATATCGGCACCCGAGGACAAGGATACCGGGGTCGGGCAGCTTACGCAAGGCTGCCAACTGCAAAGAAATTGACCGGCCTTGCCGTGCCAGCGTTGCACACTCGGTACGCCCGCAAACGATCATCACTCCTCTCCCGGCCACCCTATCCTCGTCTTAACATCGCGGACTACATGCCTCTTACCGCAACCAGATCTCACCTGGTCACGTCAACATCAAGGCCCAGCGATTCATCCACACGTTGCCGTCCAGTCTCCCCTGTTCGCAACCACGCGCCTTCGCCGCTTCTGAAACAGCCTGACGCACCCCAGGGGCTTCGCTGCCGACCCTCGATCCTCAACCCTCGACCCTCGAGCCCCCCTTGTGCCCTTTGGCGCACATCTCGCACCACTCACGCATCGCGCCAGTCTGTTCTACACACTGCACCACTGGGACCCGGCTCTCACCGCATCGTGGCCAGCGCAAGGGTTGACCCCTGACTGCGACCCCACTGCTTCGAGAAAATCCATCGAAGGGCCTCCATCCTTGCGATCCAACTCGTAGTCATCCATCTCTGCTTCGCCTCCCACCGTCCCTCTCCTCTCCCACCATCAATTGCGCGACACATCCTGTCCTTGTCCACACAAGTCACTTTGCTTGCTCTACTAGACGCCCTGACAGACCAACAGGGCACACCCTTCCAAGCTCAACGTCGCACGATTGCCAACAATTCACAACCTCCTTGTTTACTCCTTCTTTACAATACCCCCGGACTGCAACCTCCCTCTGACCACACACCCGTCCGCTCCTCCGTCCATCGTTCCGTATATAAACCAAGCTCCCTTCCCCAATCGCGCCGCACTGCAGTCACGATGTCGAACCCTACCCCAGCCCAGGAAGAATTCAATGCGCTGCTAGCAGCAAACTCCCGTGACAACAGCAAAGTACATCCCGAAGACCGAGACCACGACAGTCGCGAACAAGAAAGTCTTGACCTGGACGAGGAAGAGAGATATCGCAACTCCCAGATCGACGCCGCCATGCGTATGCCATCTCTTGGTCAGACCGGCTCCGACTTGAAGCTGCCCCCAGCGAGCTTCGATGCCGGTCGTACGACTGGCGTCAAGGGCGTCATTGCCGATGCCCGTAATTATGAGAACGCCCGCAAAACTTCCTTCATGAGCCGCGCGCGCACCACAGTGAGGCGTTCCATCTTCGGCCTCGACACCATCAATTCGCAACCGCAACCATCGCACAAGAGCGAAAGCGAGACAGACGAGGGCAACGGCAGCGACTCTGACGACAGCTTCATGCAGCAATGGCGCGAGAGCCGCCGACGAGAACTTGAGAGCGACTCCAACAAGGTCATCCGGAACCGGAGAACAAGTCCTAGCGTGCGTATCTACGGACGTCTGGACGAGGTGGACGCCTTGGGATACCTGGATGCCATTGAAAAGGTTTCTCGGGACACCGTTGTCGTCGTGTTCGTATATGATCCTGAGGTGAGCCCCATTGAACCTGCAATGCTCTTTTCTGAGTACTGACGAGAGCTACAGTGTGACGTCTCTGCAACGATAGAACACGCCATGATGCCTCTTGTTTCGCAGCACTCAACAATACACTTTGTCAAAGTACACTACCTTGACATTGAGTTCGACAACGCCGCGGTGCCTGCGATCCTGGCATACCGTAACCAGGGTGACATGATCGCCAACCTCACAGGCATCATCGAAATGATCCCGGACGACGAGATGTTTGGTACCGACACGCTGGCACGGCTTTTCCAGAAGCACGACATTCTATGATGCAAACACGGGCACAAACAGCATTCAACAAACGCGAAAACAACTTCATCTCCTCTGTTACGATACCCCCCCATTTTGCAGCGCGTTGTACTCCGCGAGCACAACGATCCCCTTTTCTGCCATTTTCATTGCTCTTTTCGACTGTCCCGTCTCTGACCCGGACTTTTGGTACGTGGAGCAGAGTTTTCTCTGGAATAGTCTCGTCATCTTCTTGGAAGACGTCGGTAAGCCGTTAGGTTTTCCTTTTGGATTTTTTGATTCTGTGATGGCGTGGGGAGGTTCATGCCCGAGATGTCGGTTATCATGCGAGAAACGTATTGGCTGCGGGTTTATGAAGAAAAAAAAAATGCAATGTCATGCAGCAATGGCATCTGAGGACTGTAGGCTGGGTTCACGAATTTTCTTAAGCGATTCCCTGTAAAATTAGTAGGCCTTTGGGGACTGTTCAACTATCTCACACAGTAATGTAGGCGTGTTACTCGAGAGTGCATTCTCGTCTTGTGAAATAGAGGTTACATTGTATATTCATCACATTTGGGGGCAGGTTTGTAGCACCCCTGGCTACAAATAATGTCTTCATCATCAAAGCAGCGGCAGATACCGAACGAAACCATCGATTAAGGGAAGCAGGCAGTGATGACAGCCTCCTAGGGCTGGAACGGGGGGCAAGGATAAGGACCTCGTTGGATTTACTGCTTCGGGACATGAGAGATTTCGAGGCAGATTGCGGGAGGAACACAAAGAATTGGAGCTTGCACGGCTGGCAAGTCTGTGTTTGAGTGGTCTCTAAGGTAGGAAACCAGGGCAAGGTAAGGGGGGCAATCCGGAGGGTTATACGCGCCAACAGGAGGAAATTGCCGCTGCACTATCCGTAATTCCGGTGTTATGTCAGGGAGCTCTCGCACCCCCGTTCAGATCGTTCTTGTCTCATAGGAACCAGAAATCCCGAGCCCGGGGAACGAAAATTCCGGCAACGTGCTCCGGCCGGGGAAGGGTAGGGCAAGGGCGAAAGGGGGATGGGCGGCGGGCTGACTGGTTTGCGTTTTAGACCCTCGTTTGCTCTTTGCTTCAGGTGTAGAGGCATGGTTTTGGGTGTCGGGTAGCACAGGTTTCGAATTCGGTTTTTCTTCTTCTTCTTCTTCTTCTTCTTCTTCTTCTTCTCTCATTTGCCTTGTTAGCGTTCCTGGAGCACATACCGCGTCCCTTGCCTTGAACCACCCAAGGGCGAGATATCCTGTGTTTGTCGCCTCGGCACCGCCCCTTCTTGACTTTCACCAGTATTTGAAGAAGCCAAAGACACACATATATATACTGGGTCTCGAGCAGTGACTGCGAGCCTTTGAGCAGATGATGACCTCTGACGCGCCGTGCCGCTGGGTTAAGAACGGCTCAGAGAAGACTCTTCCGTAGCAACCTCCAAGTCAAGCTCTTGAGTCTTTGTCTTCGTCACCTCAGAGACGATGCACCTTGTAAGGTAGTATAAGCAACGAGTCCGTTGGGTTCTAGTTTAAGTGTATGATGGTGCATCGAAGAAGGTCTAGAAAGCACATGGGTGAAATGGGACTAGACGTTTGCGAGTGATGTTGATTCGGTGCTGGAACCTGCTCGAATGATAGTGACGATGATGTCAGGGCCCTCGAGATGAGCTTTCGTGTAATTGATATCAGGAATCCAGTCCGTGGATATGGTTGAGTGATGCTAGATTTGTAAATTAATTCCAGGGACAGGCGCACATATGGCTCCCAGAACGATGCGACCATGGATTGGGACAATGGGAAAATACAAGGCATTCACAGATCAGTTTTCGGATAGCACTTCGAGTGAGAAAATTTACTTCTTCATCTTAGCAAGGGCTCGCGCATGTCACCTTCGAGGGAGAGTCTCTCCTAATGCCGGTGTTTGCAATGGTACTGTAGACACCCAAAGGGCACGAATTGCGATCTGTTTCTACGAGAAAATATAAGAAACTTGGGTCATGTCAGTGTAAGTGAGTTGCGTGGATTGAGGAAGCAGGTCCACTTTTCAGATGCAAGGCGCACAGCCACTTTTCGAACGTGGCGTATGCAGTGGGCAGTGGGGCATTCCCATTGAAGCCACACACCCTTTTCTTCGGCTGAGACATGGGATTCTTAAGTCGCAGCATCCCCGCCGAGCCTCGATAAGAGACAAGAAAGACGGCAAGAATGTGAAACATTCGGTTGACAAGCGGGCCTCACACACTCAGAGTCGAAGTTGAAGCCTCTTTTCCACGAGCCGTATCTGGACTTTTCGCGCAGTCGTGAAATTCGTTGCGAGGCGTCGTTGTACGTGGCAACCCGACCTGTTTGACCTTTTTCTGTGTCGCAAGCGGGCCGAAGTCACTTGGGCTTTCCACATTGGACGACTTGGACGTTAAGGTTGGCACCTTGCTTCAGCTTGCGTGAGGGGATGGATGGTTCAAGGTTTTGCGTCCGAAGCGGCAGCCTGGAGGCATGGCAACATTTGGCATCGTGACAAAGCGTGGAACCGAGTTCATTAAAGGTATGAAAGGTAACGGGCGAACGTGGTGGGAGAGCAGTTAAGAGGTTCGGCCCAAATTGTGCCCAAATGGAACCCGACCCAAGCGGAAATGAGGCTAAGAGGTGATGCTAGGAGGTGTGCGGATCTTCCTCCGTCCAGATGCCACTCGAGACCTTACGGTTCTCGAGCTAAGGTACCTTAGGCCCGTAGGTAGTGGTCGGTCGGGTGTTGGCAACACCAGCGGTTCCAGGCGGGGTGACGGTGGGCGAGTGGATAAGGTAACCCCGCCATGCCAGGTCGCAGCGGTGCGCGGTGCAAGTCGCAGCAGGCACCGATTTCCCCCGTTTTGTTATCGATAACAAGTACAATGATGCGGATCTGCTGTGAGGAGCTGCAATCAAAGTGGGCGGCCCAATTGCCAGTGACATTCCGTTTGAACGCGAGCTTTCCAGGCCACGAAGTGAGTGACGTATACTGCACTCTTTACGAATGTCAGATGTGTCTCCAAGGTGAAATGGGCACCATATCTTGCGCCTTCACTCGGGCCTACCTTAAGGTACAATGGACCCCGCCCCCACCTCCAGAGCACATGAGATGCGCCTGGCCGACGGCTGTTGGGTGATATGGCTGTCAGGGTGCTTTCCCTCGAGCTATCTCACGTCTGGCGCCTGCCAGTTAGGTAGTTCTTGCCAGTTCGACGTGGTGGCACCTGCTCGACTGCGGACGGCGATGCAGGATGCCATGTCGGGTAAATTAGGTAGGTACCTACCTACCTTCATGGACCGCCTGGTCTTGCCTCGCCTTCCGTCGCCTCTTCGGCTGCCTGTCTGCCTCTCAATGGTGCGCCCAAATCATGGATGTCTCTAGGTCTCAGCACCACCCGCCACCGCTCAGGTACATCCATCCATCCCGATGCAAACTGTCATATTCATCCACCACGTCTTTCCCTCACTTCCCATCGTACCCTGTGCCCTTTTCCGCTCGTCATATTCAAACAGCACTCGACTTCCCCAAGAATCGACTCGACTATTCTCCCACTTTTCAAGAAAACTACCTTACCAAACCAGATCCTGGCCCGCAGGCGCTTTGACGGTTAGGACCAACGTGAGCAACGCCGTCAGGTTAGTAGACTGTACCTTGCGCCTTATCTTTGTCGCAACTTCCTGATAGCGGCAGCCGCGTGACGTCTCCAACCTAAGTCATTGGTAGTCACCTCCGATAAACCGACCGCCATCTCGTCCCATCTCGTCCTATCCCTTCCAGTCCCTTGCCATTTCCCCACCCCGCGTTGGTCTTTTGCTTTCCGTAAGGCAACACCAGCTGGCAAGCACGAAGCATCGAGCACTTTCTCGGTAACCTGGACAAGGCAGGTAGGCAGACAGGTACAGGCAACACCTGCCACCGACCGACCCTGACGACGCACCCGAGGAAATAGCCTTTAACGAAGTACCGTCACCTACCCATCTATTCCACCTCACTTCAATCCTCTTGCACATCCCAAAGACCCGACCAGAGTTAGTTGAATCTCCTTTTCTCTCTACATCCCCGCCTCATCTTTGCTACCTAAATATTCAACATTTCGGTTCAGGTCGTTTGCCCCGAGAAAAAAAAAAGCAAAGCTTCTACGCCTCCCAACCGCCCGTCTGTTGTGTCAGCTCACGAGCGTGACCTGTTCCATATCCCGCTTTACCCCTCCATCCTCCCACCACCACTGCCACCACCACTACTCCATTCACTCCTACCACCACCCACAGCCGTCGACTTTCGAGTTACTCTTCTTTCTTCCAGCTTTCCGACCTCCCGAGGCATGACGGGATAACACTAAAGGCTAACCCTTGTTATCTCGGTATGGAAGAGCAGCACTGCGGCGATCCCACTCCAGACGTCGACGCATTCACCCAGAACCCAGCAGAATCAACAACCTTGTCGTCCTCCGAGCTGACCCTGCGATTTCCCCGACCGCAAGGCAACCGTCAGCTCGCCAGCTGGATTTCCTCCAGCGAACCCGACATCATGACTCCGTCAGAAGCGCCTGAAGATACCACGCTGTCTGAAAGCACGTACGAATTCATCAACACAGATGACGAAAGCCAGGATGGCCGTGGCACCGAGGCCGAGTCTCTGAGCTCTTTCGACTACGCCCGGCCCGATGACGTTCATAGCCTCGCTGGTACTGAACATACGGAAGACATGGCTAACCATTCCGATACGGACTCAGAAGACTCAGAGGACGCTGCGCAGGACAGGTCTCGAGCGTCATCTATTCAATACGCTGAGCAAAGCCTCCTCAACCCGTCTTCCCGCGTCGCCACGCCGCCTCTTGGTGTCGATGGCTCCATGGACATCGGCCAGCATACTCCGCTAGTCCAGTCCATCGAATTTGACGAGACGCAAGACCCAGTCTACTTCAAGCAGGTGTCTGTCAAACATACCATTCATAGCTTTACCGAAGAGCACTCAACCTCTATCGCCAAGACCCTCAAGTTCGAAGACCAGAGTAAGCGTCTCATTGCAGCAGTCCGTCAGACCATGGCGCCACATTGCCTGGCGACGAAGGAACCTCTCCGAATCATGTACACGGGCAGCCACGCAGCCAGGCACGACATCATATACAAGATCTCTTCTGCCTTTACAGCATCTGCATCGGCGGATGGATGCGGCATCAGTGAAGACGCCGGCATCTACAATGTCGTGCCTATATCATCCCTTGGGTCTCCCAAGGTCCCCGAAGTCGAGTTGATGAAGACCTCGCAATACCAGATCAAGGTCGAGAATTGCACGTCTGCTAAGGAGGTTGTCTACCACGGCGAACGTTTCCCAGGAGAGACGGTTTATCAAATCAACGTGGACGGTGATCGGACTTACCAGTCAGCTTTTGCTCCTAGCTGTTCCATCATTGAGCCCTCATGGACCTTACCTCATGTCGCCATCTTTTACGTCACGGAGAGTGACGATGAGGCTGTCCGAAATACCCGCAATGCTGCCTGGCACTTCATGCAACGCCACACCGTTCCTTGCGTATTCATCTCCAACGATGAAGTCTTCCGTCAGCCTACTGCAATGTGGGACAACATGGTCAACCAGCACGCCATCCACATCTGTGTGGAATCATCCGACAGAGCCATGCCGTCTGTCAAGCTTCCCATCGACCTGACCTCATTTCTCAATATCGATGCTCGCCAAATGAATCGCAATCTTGCCTATCTTACCGGCCTCTACGAAAATGCAGACGGGAATAGGGAAAGCGAGTCTATTTTCGTCAATCCGAGCAAGACTGTTCGTCGTCTTTGGCATCGCGCTGTCGAGGCTACGGAAGATATCGACCTCTGGGTTGTGGGCCAAACAGCGATTCTCATCTTCAGCGTTGTCGCCACCGCACTGCTCTCCAATTACTTCTTAGCAGGCTCAAGCACGCCGGCACTTTCGACAGTCTCGTCTACGACAGTCTCACCTAGTCCAACAGTATCCATGACTTCGACAGTATTGTCGACCTCGACATCGACGATCAACCTTTCAACGACAACTATCCGGGTGGCACAAAAAGCCTCATTAACGCCTGGTAATACGGCTGTAGCACCGTTCGCAGAGCTTGCCGACTTCCTTGCGGACAGGTTCCCCGACAAAGCCTACGTCTGCTCAGCAGAGAAGATCAGCCGCAATGAGATCTTGATCAAGATCCCCTCCGGTACGAAGATGTCGTGGCTCGCCAAAGACTCGATCACCATAGATGTCCTCAAGGGCGAGAGGTCTGTTAAGACTAGATTTTCTTCAACAGACGAGGGAATTTTGATCGAGATCCCGAAGTCAGAAGCATATGGGATTCTCACTATTGCTGTCAACACAACCCGGAAGCCTAAGGTCAACGAAACCTTTGTGATCGACTTCGGTAAGACTTTCCTCGAATATTACCTGGGATATGGCAAAGCTATTGCTTCCCATATCCTTGATACGGCAAGCACTGTCGCGCATCGGGCAGAGGAACGCGCCTTCAATCTTTCAAGCAGCTTAGACTCTGTTGTATTGGATGTTAGAGGGTTGTCTACCCGCCTCACCGCAAGGGTTGCGATTGCTGCGAACGCCATTTTCAAAGGTTCTACAGAGCTGTCTGAGAACCTGCAAAGCCTGAGAAAGCCGCATCGGCTACAAGAATTGAAAGACCGAGCCGACATGGTTCTCACGAAGGCCCAGATCCAATCTAAGTTGCTAGCTCTGAAGGTCCTGCAAAGGACCGAGGAGCATCAAGTCTACTTGGACAAGGCAAAGAGGCACATGGAGAAGCTACGTTTGACAGCGTCTGAGGCTCATAAGCAACGCTTGGATAAGGAGAAGAAGGAGATGCGAGCTCGTCGGAAGAGGGAGCGCCTGGCGGCTAGATGCCAAACAGGCACTGGCTTCTCTAGATGGACGCAGCAGTGCAGACAGCAAGGGTGAGCCTTATTTTACATGCAAGTATGGAGATACCTTGGAGGTCGGTTAAGGGCAAGGACGGGACTGGAGTTACTGGTATGGATTCTGTAATGGTCGTCTCATCTTTTTGCTTCATTCGCCCTTCAATGTTTAGTTATTCACATCGCCTTCCCCACTCTTCCCCTATCTCATTCGCAGATACGACAACAAGGTGAGGCAGCGCAGGGCAAGCTTCGTCGAGTTTCCGGTATCCAGTCGTTTTGAGGCGGCTGTAGGGCAGGCAGAAATGATAGACCACGAGCAGGCTTCTGCAATGATTCTTCAACTAGGCTCGTAAGAATGTCTACCTTTTTGTGAGCTATGCCTTAGTACATTGTGTGCCTGTGTTCGTCGTCCAAACTTGGTCCCAAGTTAGGCAGTTAGCTTGAAAAGGTTCCTGAGGACTGACAGCAGCATGCTCGTCTGAGAGCTTACCACTGGCAGTGCCTTTGGGGAGTTTCAGTGTGACAAAACTTGAAGCTTGCAAGCAAGCTAAACACCTGCCAATCATCTAATAAAAATATTTAGTTCAATAGTGCGGATAGGGCCGGGTGATGACCAAGATAGCGTCGAGTTTCTCATCTTCAAATCAGGGACTCCCCAGTGGCAAAGGCAGCGGGCTTGGTGATTGGCTGCGCGAATCCAGCCTTGGCTGTGGCTCAGGTGCATCCCCACAGAGTCAGGAGCAGCGGCAGTACCTTATGTACAGTGCCCTTTGATTTGGGTGGAGGGATACTTGCTGGTCGCAGGATGACCACTGCCTGAGCACCTAACAGCAAGGGCCAGGCCCGCCCGACACCCCTCCTGCCCTCCTGTTGTTGACTTATGAATGAGGGGCTATTTCCTCATTTTGTCCAACCCACTCCCAACTTCACCTCGAGCGAAGAAACATAATCATCTTTTGCTTTCCACTCTCCGAGCCCCCCTCACTGCAGAACATACCGCCGCTAGCCCTGGTAAGTCTTGTTCTCCTTGGTCTTTGCTCCCCCGCAGTCCGCTTCCTGTCGGTCTTGATGACGAGCAGGTTGACGCGCCCGGCTCATCTCGATGAGGGGCAGATTTAATCGTAATGCAAAGTTCTTGAGCTAACATTTTTTCTCCTCGTTTCCCATGGGTAGACCTGTACATCGTCATACTTCACCCAAAACAACTACTTCGTAAAAGCCATCACTATGTCTGCTGCCGAAGCTACCGAGCCCAAGGTCGAGGAGACCAAGCCCGCCGAGGTACGACTGCCCCTTCGTCGCACGCGCATTCGCCCCGCCCACAACATGCTTTTGTGCGAAGATGCCCCAAAGCTTACCGCGTCTACCGGGTTTCTGACGATGTGCTGGAGTGATGCGCCCTTCCCACTCTCTCGCATCTTCGATCCACCTCTATATACTTGTACGTGTGGATGGCTGACACTACCGCCTACAGACCACCGGCGAGGCTGAGAAGCCTGTGACCTCTTCTTCCGTTTTCTCCATGTTCGGAGGTGGCGCCAAGAAGGAGAAGAAGGAGGATGAGGACCGCGGTGACAACTCTGGGAGCGCCAAGGCCCAGCGCGAGGCTGCGAAGAAGGACGGCGAGGTATGTCGTGTCAAATGCTTTGCTTGGATATGGTGGTAGTGTGAGTATTTGACACTATGCTGACGTTGAAAATCTAGGAAGAAGAAGCCCCCGAGTCCGAAGATGTCCACTTCGAACCAGTCATCAAGCTGACGGAGAAGGTCGACGTCACCACCAACGAGGAGGCTGAGGAGCAGCTCTTCAAGATGCGCGCCAAGCTTTTTAAGTTCGTCAAGGAGACGACTGAATGGAAGGAGCGCGGCACCGGTGATGTCCGTTTGCTCAAGCACAAGGAGAATGGCAAGACCCGCCTGGTCATGCGCCGTGACAAGACCCTCAAGGTCTGCGCCAACCACTACAGTACGTTGTGTCAGACTCTGGCGCACCACCGACTTTCTAACATTGATTAGTCGTCCCCGAGATGAAGCTGTCCCCCAACGTCGGTTCCGACCGCAGCTGGGTGTGGAACGCCGCTGCCGATGTTAGCGAGGGTGAGGCTGAGGCCGTTACCCTGGCCATCCGCTTCGCCAACTCCGAGAGTAAGTCCATGTCGGATGTGGGAACTTCTTTGTGACCCAGCACGCTAACGAGAGACAGACGCAAACCTCTTCAAGGACTCTTTCCTTAAGGCTCAGAAAGACAACGAGGAGCTCTTCAAGGCCGCTGAGGGCGAAGCCGCCGCCGCCCCCGCTGTTGAAGAGTCTTAGAATCACCCCTACCTCCCAAATTCGTGAGACGATGAGGATGAAAGGCCCAGCACGCCGGGCTGTTTTCAATAACCGCCCCCTGCAACAACACCGAAACTAGCATCATTGTCCAACTTGTTTTTACAAACCCCCCGATACGAGGCCGGCTGGATCACTTCGGTGAGGAGAAGCTGAAGAGTGCAAGAAAGACCTGCACCGAGTGGTGTCTGTTTTCTAGCATTGATACGTGGATGGATAGCATCAAGGCTCAGGAGCAAGACACTCTACACAGCACAAATCAACAAGAATAAAGTCCCTTCTCAATTGATTAGACGTTCCAGTAGGAGAGATAGACGCGCCGATGAATCATACCCCCTCATTAGGTTATCCGAGTGTTGGCTGTGATGTTTCTGCAGGTGACCCCTGGGATGACTGATAATCGTCATCGACAGTGCTACTTTAAAAGGCGACGGGTGTCTTCATTTCACTGAGAAGGTAGCCTTTGGCAGGTTTGATCCTCTACATTCGAACAGTGAGCGAACAAAAAACAAGTTCAGGGTCAGAAGACAACCATTCAATTAAAGTCCTTGCTTCCTTCCCCGCAACACGCAACACGCAACACGCTTGCACGCGGCAAGCTTTCCAGCCACACCCTGGGTGTCTGCATGGCCCGAGCGTCACCCTCAGCCTTCCAGTAAACCTCCAAATCCTAACTGGTGAACTTCACACACTTGTTCAGTGCACATCCTAAACCTCCCCTCAAACTCGACACACTGCGCCAAATCCTAATCTGCCTTAATATAGCAGCCCATCATGATTGTTGAGGTAAGACATTGCGACCATCCCTTCCCCTCGTACCAGCGCGCTCCGTTGCGTCGATTTGCGACATCATCAACGGCTCGCTTTGCCCAAGCACCACCACCTGCTCGTTGACAGCTTGCGCTGCTGGCGAGCCGACGATGATTGCTTCCAGGAGACCTTCACGATGAATACTGCATATTCAGCTTTTCCAGCCGATCCACCATCTTGGCACAATGTCCCCTTCTTTATCCCCAAATACACTGGGAATCTTCAGGCTACACCGTCGCCAACCAAAACCACCACCACCACCGCCATGTCTCCCTCCCGAAAGGCCATGGCCCATCGCTCCAATGCTAACATCGAAATCAAGAGGAAAGTAAGGCTCGTCACCGAGCAGAACATCATGTAGGTTCAACTTGCAAACGCCCCTTCCCCCACGGCAGCAGAAGCTAACCCTTCTCTCTTTACCTTTAGCGACAAGCCTTCGCCCGTCGAGGATTTCCCCATGCGAAAATGGTCTATCAACGTCTACATTATCGGCGAGGACGGTGAGGAGCATCCGGCCGACTGCTTCCTCAAGGTCGTCTACAACCTTCACCCTTCCTTTGACAACCCAACCCAAAGTTCGTATACTCTGTCCACCACGGCTACTCTTCCTGTCACAGCTCGCTGACCGCAGGGGTTTCCAGCCTTCAACAAGCCTCCTTTCCGATGTGAAAACGAGGGATGGGGTGAATTCGACATGACGATCGATTGCTACATCACCGAAAAGTCAAAGCAGTCCCTCAGCCACGACCTCAACTTCGCAAAGAACCGTTACGAGGCCGAGCACACTGTTTCGTTCAAGAATCCCTCGCAAGCTCTCCAGCAAATCCTGCGCGACACAGGTCCTTTGCCATCGGACGATGACCGCCTCAAGAAGAAGGGTGGTGCCGGCAAGAAGGGTGCCCAGAAGTACGATTACGAAAAGATTGCCCAGGCACTCGAAAAGCTGGACGAGGATGACCTGCTCCGCGTTATCCAGATTATCAATGATAACAAGACAGCGGAGACATACATCAAGAGTGATGTCGATGGTGAGCTTGCGCCTGCTTCCCCTGGTGTCGATCTTTTGGCCGGTCAGTTTTCCTTGTGTTTGGGGATGCATGGGATCGACATTGGTAAACAAACACACTCGAGCGTGCTTAAGCTAATATTTTTTCTAGCGGGAGAGTTTTCCATTGATCTCTATACGATGTCGGATCAGATGACCAAGCTCCTGTGGGATTACTTGGTGAGTAAACAATACGTTCGGGTATAGATGTCGCAGGTCCTTGGTTTTCGAACCTCTGAACCACAAGCACTGGCATTTGCTCCCAACGTTTAGCATGGGACTGGACGGGAATTGCGAGTATGTTGGGCTGGATATATGACCGGCCGCTGACCTTTGAAAAGAGCAAGAAGGGCCTCGTCACTTAGGTTACCCGCCGCTCGCGGAAAATCACCTCCTTCTGCACCACTCCCGAAAATAGCTTTCCCCGCGACCGAATCGAGTACGATTGGGCAGATGAATCGACACGACGGGTTTTCTTGTGGGGGGAGGGGGTTCCTGGTGGGCTTCAGGCTTCCTGCTTCGCTTTTCCAATGGCATCTGGCTAGGCGTTACCGGCTTCCCGCTTCTCTTTTGCTTCAGTTTCGGTTTTTTTTGTTTTTCTTGTTTTTTAAGTTTTGCCCCTCGTCTTTCAATGGTCTCGTGCGTGTGCGTGCTGTGTTTTTGTTTTTTCCGCATATGCCACCGAACAAAAAGCACTCGCGGGGATGGGAAATGGCGATCTTGCGTGCATGTGAAAGGGAAATTATGCGTTTCTGGGAATTGTAGGCAATGTATGGGGGCGGCGTGGAGAAGGGAGGGTCAGGAAAGGAGCTACGAAACGACACTGGACGGCGTGGCTAGACTTTTTGAGGAGAGCGACGCAGGCGGAGGTTAGAGTTTCATTGCGAGGTCGTCCGGCTTTGTGTCTCCTCGTTGTAATCATACTGTTCACTGTGTTCATCGTGTCAACCGCTGAATGTAGTACGTCCATGTGAGAATCTCGTCGACTTTTGACATGTAATGGCTGCAAAACTCCCCAGTTACCCCGTCACGTGGTATTTCTGGACATCAAGAATAATCTGGGGGTTGTGGTCGCATGCTTCTCTCTCATCTTGGAGTGTTTCTTGTATAACCGTCTTTGCGAGTTTGAGCAAGCGCTCTAGATAAGCTCTTGATTCTGGCTGGAGAATATCCACACAAAAGAAAAAAGGAAACGGAAAAAAGGGTATATCTTTGAGGGAAAAAAAAGGGGGGGGTTCTTGCAGGTGTGAAAGAGCAAGGAACCACGGCCTCGCGATCAGAGAGCCATGAGCATGCTTGCCGGGTAACCTTGACCCTTCCCAAGGTCGCATGGATAAGAGAAACAACAACCGGAAAGACAAATCGCTACTGGGCCAGCCGGGCCATTAAAAAAAAAAAAGTTCATTGCTTTCTTTTCCCCAATTTTGGAATCTTTCCCATCTCGTTGCTCCCAATGCTTCAAAGTAAACCCACAGACACACACAACCTTGCGGGTGTCACTTTATTTTTCTGGTCTCCTTTGGAACCATCTCCGTTCTAAAAGTGTAAATCTTGCATCCTTCTTCAATTCGTTTTGCCCTGCCTGGTTCAGGGAAACGACGAAGGACCGTCTAGGACGGGGAACCCCGTATCCATGGCCATGTACTCGAGAAGATCGAGACCGCCGACGTTGACGCCCTCAGCCGTCATAGCAACGGCCGTGTTGTCCATGTTCTGGAAAAAGGCCGGCCCGGGCGGAAGGTACCACATCTCGTTGCTTGGGTTGTTCCAATCCGTCGAGTCAAAGAGACTCTCCATGCCCCCCGTCGTGGACGACGGCACATTGTTGTTGTTGGCGTTTGCTGTCCCGCCGTTCTCAGGAGGCGGTGCCGGCGTGGAGGGGCCGAGGACTGAGGCCGCGCCTGAGGGGTAAGGGAAGGTGCCTGTGCTGAGGTCATAGGGTGTTGCGGAAATGTTGTCGGGGTCGTCTATTGTGTCTTTGTTAGTTGCTAATGCTGCGATAGAGGATGTGTTATCGGGGTGGAGCTTACCATGTGCGTTGAGTCCATCCCGTAATTTCGAGGCGTGGTTCGCCCACGACTGACCCTCTGAACCGTTGACCAGCTGGCCATTGGCAGCGGCGGAACCATTGGTGACGGCGTGGGGGTCTGGACTCCGGCCATCCGCAGACCCGAGTCCTAGAGCCGGGGCTTGGATGAACCGATTTCGGAGCCGACTTGTCAAGGAGTCGAGCAGATCTGCAAACCGAATCCCAAGGTGAACGTCGTCAACGATGCAGTTACGTAGTGCCTTGACAGTCTCGTCCATCAAGTCGATGCTGAGCTTGACATCCGACCGCGGGGCACCCAGAGCAAAGGTCTTGAGCAAGAACATGGCACCGCTGATGATACGGAAGTAAGTCCGCACGGGGGCGTGCTTGAGATAGTCGCCCGGTAGGAGACCCTCGACGACCGTCCGGAGCAAGTTGCGGCAGCCGCTGATGACCTCTTTAATGTACTCCTGATCGCTGGCGCCGAAGCCGCCCAGCTGGCCCAAAGGCAGCTTGCCAAAGTAGTTCTGCGTCTGGGGGGACAACTGTGCCGCGCTTCCAGCGTTGTGGTTGCCATGGGCACCGTGGCCCGCATGAGCCGTGTGACCGGCGTTGTTGGTACACCGTTCAACGACAGCTTGTAAAGATAGCGAGTTGACGTAGATGCGCACATACTCGTACTCGATGGTCAGAATGTGTCTGATGTAAGGGGGTAGCCTGAATCGCTCAAATTCTTTCCACCAATCTTGGAGCAGCGGGTGGAAGTCTTTGAGCATCTCTGTGTACTTCCCGCTCTGGATGATGTCGGTGGTATGCTTGCGTGATTTGAAAAACTTTTCGTTGCCAATGTGCATCGCGTTGCTGATGCCAGCCCAGCAGTGTATTATTTGGTCATCGAGCTCTAGGTCCGGGATGTAGTTGAAGGCATTGGACATGGATGATGGGTTGGTCCCAGGCGTTGTGCCCTCTGTGGATGTTGGGCGTCGACGAGTTACCGCTGGGTCGCTCTTGCGGAGGGTCTCGGGAACCATGCTTGTCCAACCGAGGCGACCGGCGAGCTGGGACAGGTAGATCAACAGGAGGCGCTTGATGCGGTACGCCCTTTGACGGTACACCTCTTCCTCGTACTCGGGGCGGGAGATGGCACCGTCGCGCAATAGCTCGTCAATGTCGTCAAAAACGCCAAGCTCGTACGCGAGACCCATGGCGGTACTAAGAAGCATCCAGCACATCCTATCGCTCCTCCAGGCGGGTTCAAGCCAGCTGTCGAGTCGCTTCCCGCCAATGTTAGCGGACGGTCGCTGGTTACCGTGCTCGTCTGTGCTAATCATGTCACTGCCTTCGTATGACGGAAGCATGAGCTCGTCGATGGCCTCAGCTGGCGGAAAGTGGAGCGCTCTAGGGTGCCACTCTGTGAGAATCATCAGTGACTCGATAGTGCCCAAAGTTCGCAGGCTGCCTTTTCTCATTCCACGCCAGGGCGCTGTGCTGCTTGTCTGATCGTCGGGGACAGATGATGCGCCAGCCATAGCTGCAACACCGCCCCCAAATGCCTCTTGGCCCCACAAACACCTCTCAATCATGCCCCGAAGATATGTCCAGAGCTGTTCATGGATTGCGTTGGACCGGCATTGGCCACCTGTCCCGGGAATTTTGCGATATCTCGAGGAGATGGTGAGAAGGGTGATGGTGAGGATGGGTTCTTCCGTCAATAAGGTGATGTGAGATGCAGGGTTGCGGAAAGTTGGTGGAGAGATTGGTGTAAGCGGTGAAAGGTATTCGTAGTAGCTAATAACTATTAGCCTGATATCCACAGCTCGAGGCGCATCTATACTTACTAGTCAATATAGTCAATAGCCTCTTGCGCGGAAAACCAGCCGGCTCTGACAAATCTGAACCTCCCCCAGGCCTTGATGGCGTCCGGGTAACCAGGCTCACCAGAGAGATCATGTCTCGTCAACGCCGGGTCAATGGGCTGCGGCTCAAGCGCAACCGGGGCCGATGGCCGTCCACTACTGCTCACGGGCTTCAACGTCGCACCGGGCGTGACGGTGACGGGCTGCTGCGGCATGGCGGGTATGGAAGCGACACTTTCATGACGCTTGTGGTTGTTGGTTACAGGGCTGCGGGCCGGGGGGTGGTAAGCAGCCGCGACTTGGGCATGGCGGAGCTGGACTGACCTATCCGTAGCCGCCTTGTATAGCAGATCCAGAGCGTCGTGGGGTCCGTAGACGCCGGGGCGCATGAGGTCCTGGGCTTCGCGGTTCTCGAGCTGGGCGTTGGGTTCGTCGTCGAGGACGTAGTCGCTCCGGTGACGACTATCGGCCTGGCTCGTGGTGCTCGGGGTGCCGCCGTCAGTAGGCCGGCGCAAAGGTTGGTTTCTACCCATGGAGCCTCCGGGGGTCAAGGGCACTTCGCTGTAGAGGCGGCGGTCGATGGCGACGGGGGGGCTGCCGCTGACGTGAACGCGCTTACGGCCATTGCGTATTGTGTAGTCGTCGACGTCCTCGGGCTCGGGATCCTCGCCGTCCTCGGCCTTGCGCTTCCTCCTCGTTGCGCTGAAATAACATTCTTTGCTCTCGCGACGGCATCGTACGCAGGGGGGATCGTGGGGGTTGTCGACGCTGCCCAGATCGCAACGGACCTTTCTGCGACGACACGGGATGCAAGCTTGGTAAACGCGTTTGTGCTGGGGGCCCAGAGGCTGGCCCGCCGGGGTAGCGGCAGCGTTCGCGGTGGCAGTGGACGGAGGGTTGGAGGTCGTCGGGCTCAGGTTGGATGCGGCCGCGTTGTGGTACTGGGCCATGATGGGCCGGGGGCAGTCGTGCAGCAATCGTGGGGTGATGGATGGCTCGACTCGTCGACTTTGTTTGATGGATAGACTCGGTCGGTCAGGTCGGTTTGCAACGGGTTTATGGAGGGGAAAAGACGGGCTTACAGCCACCACGGGCGGGGCGTGGGTGGTTTTTGTCGGTCCACGTTGTGTTGGGTGGCCCTGGGTAGGTGGTCAGTGCTCTTGTTCTCGCTCCTTTTTCTTCCTCTTTTTTTGCAACGCTGCGGCTTGCGTTGGGGTCCACGTTGGCTGGCACGCCGCACTTGGAAGTTGGCTGGGCTGGGAGCTTACCGGCCTCTGGTGCGTAGGTACCTAGTTACCCACCTGGTGCGGGGTTGGGGCAGACGTGGAGTGGTGGATAAGGTGAGGTTCCTTAAGGTGAGGTGAGCTCTAGGTAGGCAGGTGGAACAGACCAACTGCTGATACGTACCTCTGCCCGCTCGGTACCCACCAGGTACAGACGCACCCCTCTCTGCCGAGGACTGTGTGTCTTGCGTCCCTCTGAAAGCTCGAGGCCAAGCTGTCGAGGCCAGGAGCGTAAGCTGCGATCCCTCATCTGGTGTTCGCGGAGACAATTCTCAGACACAGGGCGTATGGGTCCCCGTGCGCCCTGCAGCCTGCTCTACTCTACGTCTCTTCGCACTCGGCTCTGGCTTCTGATGGATGTCAGTCGCCAAAAGGAAAAGTACGAGAATACCTACCTTATCCGACCTGTTGCCTTCTGGCTTGGCCGCGAACACCTTAGTCGAGGAGATCCCAAAAAAAAGGCAGAAACAACGAGCAGCCTGATCACCCCTCCTTATCGGCGGCGGGGATTGATTGGGTTGCGTACCGTACCGTACCTTATGTCTTCTGTTCCAGCCATGATTGGCGCGATTGGGAATAGGGTGCAATACGGGATGGAAATGGCGTGTAAAAGATTGTGTAACAAGAACTACAACCACAAGAATGTGAAATTGTCTAGCACGCCATGGACCTGAACTGAGATGAAAGAATAAGTAGGGAAATTCTAGCAATGAATTGTCTATTCGCTCATGACACTTCATCCAACCCTCAATTTAGTAGCCAAGAACTGGACACGAGACGACTGGGCAGTCTGGTGCATCGACCGTTGAAATCGAGTACATAATCAAACCAAACTAATCATTAACTTTAGGTAAAAGAAAGAACACAAAAAAAAAAAAAGGAAACACCGTTTCTGCCTTCCCGATCTTGCCTGGTGCCCCTCTCCAAATCCCCAAAAAGGAACCACCCCAAAAGGACCATCAAGCAACCCGCCATTTCGTCAAGGCGGGCGCAAGTGGACAAACAATAGAACGGTGCCGCGCCAGAGACGCACGCGAGAGACATCCATGCCAGCAGAAGCTCTCGGTGCCTTCGGTGTACCTCGTACATGGGCAGTTTGGAGCAAGGTGAGGTCACCTGGGGACGTCTGCCCGGTGACCAACACAAGCCTTGACAATTCTTGTTGCGCGTCGCGTTTCCATTCCACCATGAAAGAAACATCGTTTTTTCTTGCATCCGGTGACCCAGCCTGCACCCCGAGATTGGCAAAAAGTAGTAGCGGAACAGAAAGTCTGGGGAACCCGAAACTGGGGTACCTCCCATTCAATGATGTGACGAGGTTCCATCCGAGAGCCCGGACCAACCGGTAACGGTACCACACACCTTTTCAACGTCCCACCTCCGGCTCAGCTTCCTACTCGATGACCGCCCCTTCTCTCCATCCAGATGCCATCCCTGCAATCCAATCGTACCGGACTACCAGTTCGTTCTACGCCGCTGGTCGTTGACAGTCGACCTCTTCTTTCGTCAGCCCGTATTTCAAACCCCCCCTCAACCTCCAGCTTCCCAGCCGCCGCCGCCGTCACTTGCGACAAAGCTCCTCATCCTCGCGGTTACGTTTGCTCGAGGCGCAGCATCCCATGTCACGTTCGCTCCCTCTCTCTCTCCATCCTCTGCATCCGAGCTTTCCTATCCGTGGCAACAAGGTAGTTGGTTCCGCTTCTTCCTGCCCGGCATCTGCGTCAGTGGCCGTTCGCACCGCCTTCGTGATTGTGCCCTCCGAATACATCCCCTTGTTCTCAACTTGACCTCACTCCTTACCTAAATTTGTCTTTTCTGCCCGGAGAATATCAAAACATAATTGAGATTGCTGCCAATAACTCCCAGTTGTAAGTATATGAACTGATAGGACCTGTTCCCGCCCCTCTTTCGGCCGAATCGATCAGGAGAATGAAACTCTATGCAGGTACGGATACCATGCGTAATTACAGCGTGGATTTATTTCATCCATCCATCTTATCATTCCCTCTCCAACAGTCGGTCATGACTCTAGGCGACGGCCACGCAGAGTAGCTCAAGGCCCGAGCTGATGCGCGGAGAAGCTACTTGACTCTTATAGTACAGGAAGCTCCATAACTTTGGCCCAGTGCCGCCCGCCCCTATTGGCCGCTTCGCCCATATTTTCCAATGACAGTATCTCTGGTGTTGCTCAGAGCTGCTTGAATTGATGGCTCATGCAAAGTTTCTCAACGTGTTGTTTGTCTGATTAATCAAGGCATACTCTAACGGGTCCAGGCCACCCGTGTACACGTGTATGAGCAATTTGTGAGCAATTTGGTTTCACAGACAGTCAGCGGACAAGACAGGAATCGCGAGTCAAAGCCTTGTGATAGCTAGGTGTACATATAGCTTACGATAGGTGCCCTTTTCATCAATGGGGCGCCTCCTTGCCTTGTGCCTACTTGCCTCCCCGCTCCGTCACCAACTTCCTAATAAACAATTCCTCCAACAGACATCTTTGAATGCCGCATTGTGTATCAGCTGCCGTAACACCTCCCGCCTCGGTCAAGGTTGCCCTCCAACGGATACCGAGACCAACGCCCAAATTCCACTTTAACGAGACTCCACTGTTCACTTTGCTCCTTTCAACCAATTCTAAGAACTCTTCTTGGGTGCTGCAGCATCAGTCTGCTCAACCGCGGCCGGAAGAATGGCCGGAATTGTGTCTGGGGCAGTCTCGGGGGAATGACCGTCATCAATCGGTCCTGGCTCCTCCTCGAGGGTCCCATCCAGCGTTGTCGGCTTGAAGTCGCCATTGTCAATCGACGCAGGGTCATGCCCACGTCCGCTATTGCTCGCCGAGACACCAATGGCCGGCGTCCCACCTTCTGCAATCTTTTGCTTTGTCTCCCGAATGATCTTTTCAGACTCGCTGACCTTTGCTGGATTCGGCGGAGCACGCTCGATTCCGATAGCGTTCTCCTTGTCATTCTGGCTCTCCAACAAAGCGTCCTTGTCCAGGCGGACAATCATACAGGACAAGTTGTCCGTGCTAAACCGATTCAGCGCGTGGTCAACAAGAAGCTTCGAGGCTTCAACCGGGTCCTCGATGTTGCGAACAAGGTCCACAGCCTCTTGGTCAGAACAGACGTCCCAAAGCTGAAGAGACAAATTAGTCACATTTCATTACTTTTGAGAGCACGAAACTTACTCCATCACAAGCTATAATCATAAACTCGTCACTCTCGGGTTGAATGACGGTCTCGGTGGTGTACGGGTGCCCAGTGACGAGATCCTTCATATAGGTGTCGCCAAGAGCTCTCGTTACAGCCAAAACACCATTGACGCGGTTATTGAGTATCAAACCACCAGCATTGGCTATACGTTTTCCTTCATTCTCGTCGCTGCCCTTGTGATCATACGAAAGACGAAGCGCTTTACCGCCACGGCAGAGGATGATACGGGCATCACCAACATTGGCCGTGTAGAGAACGCGCTGCCGGCTTGCCGAACTTTTCAGTTTGGCATGTGTAGCCTCAGGACCACTCGGCGTCGCCTTGTCGTCTGTGGCTTCCTCTGACGTCAACTTGGCAGCCTTGGTGGCTGCCGCAGTAGCTGGCGCGATAGCCTGAGAACCGGTCGCCGAGCGGTCACTCGGAACCCGGTCCTCCCAACGTAACACGGCGACAGCAGCTGTGCATCCACTGTTCTTAAGAGGGAGCTTTTCCAACTGTGCATCAACAGAAGTAAATGTTTGGTCGAGGAGTTCGGGAATGGGGCCGTTCGGGTTCTTTCGGATTATTTCCTCCAGTATGATGTGAAGCTTTTTCCCACACCAATCAGCGGCAAATGTGCCAGCGTGGCCGTCAAAGATGGCAAAATATCCATTGTCCGTCTCAACCATGTCCTGACTGGAAGCATCTTTATCATCGGACACGGAGTCGCTCTTCTTGCCTTCAATGGCAGGAGCCGGGGTATGCAAAAAGTTGTATAGGAAGGCATGGGTGTCTTCCATGGTGCGACGGCACTTTTTGTTCCTGTCCTCCCATACACCGACACGGAAGGTGGAGCGCGGGCCGGGAATGGAGTCACCGGCCGAGTTGTTGTGCTGGCCTTGAGGCACGGCGAGAGCAGGGTCCTGCTTACCCAGCTTCTGGAGAGGGGTCTGCGAGCTCACATCCGAGTTGGATCGGCCGACCTGGGAAAAGTTTAGGGTGTTCTTGGCATGAGCCAGCAGGCCCGCGGCCTTACTCTGAACACCGCTGGCACGGCGCTTCTTATCCGCGGCGCCATCCTGCTGCCGTCCCGGAGGACTACTGTTACCACTCCGCTTGTCGCCGCTGGCAGCCTGGTCGGTTGACTTGAGGGAAACCGAGGCGCCCTTGTCAGATTCGGGCGAAGGCGACTTGCGGTCCTCTTTTGGATCGCTCTCCGCCTTGGAAGCAGCCGAACTAGAGCCGCCGAACATTCTAGTCAGCAGACCACTCCCCTGGTTGGAGAGGCTGCGACGCTTGCTTCCTGCCAGTTTAAAAAACCTCGAAAAGACGCCAGAGAATCCGGTCCGCACGCAGCTTCAATCGAGTACGATGGGTTTGCAACAAGGTTGTCTTCGTTGGGTTCGTTGTGGAAGTCGGAGATGCGACGTCGCGAAGATGGATGTCTGATAAAGTTACCGTCAGTATTAGACTACGGTAGTGAGGATCAGTGGTCGACGGGCTCATGGAGGGGCAGAATGGTCCGAGGCCGACCGGGGGCTAGGCAGAGGGTCGGGTCCGAGCTGAGGAGGATTGATGCATAGAATGAAAAGGGCCAAGTGAGGAGGACGCTGTTCTCTGGACGGCAGGCGGTATGGCGACAAAGTGCGCCAGCTAGTTGCTATGTGACTGACGTCGGATCTCAAGACGGCGCGGGTATGTGCTCGGCCAGTCTTGTGGCAAAACCAGATGCCCAGAAACTGCTGTGCGCAGGCCCAGAAAAAAACTTTTGATGAAGATACGGGAACAAGCAGATGCCTATAGCGGGATGTATGATGTTTGTGTGTTTGGGTGGTCTGGGATGACAAGTGACGTAGGTTGGCTGAATGATGGTGGAGGGGGAACCAGAAGGGTAGAAGCAGCAGTACTCACCAGAGTGACGTACCCAGCGATTCGGATTGCCGGAACGACGTGGTTGGAGCTGGATGAGGATGGCAAAACAGAGAGGTCGGGGATGCACTTTGGAGTCTGCCAGGCGAGATGGCAAGGACTGCAACGTCTTCGAGGAGGGATAGAAATGGTTGGTGTTGAGAACAAGTTAAGGTAGGCGGCAGAGAGAAAGAGGTTGAGGTTGTGGAAGAGCGATGCGAAATGCTGCCCGCTTGGTGCTGGCTCGTTCGGTCAGTGTCTCCGCAGCAGCCTAGGAGGGGGAGGGGGCAGTTGGCCAGGTTGGAGGGGAAGGGCAAGGAAGGTGATTAAAAAAAAAAAAGGCTTGCAGGGTCCCTTCGTTTTAGCGGCGCTTACCTTACCTGCTCTTTGTTATGGGGCTTTCCTTTGGCTGCCTACCCTTGCCACAGCTTCTCACTCAAGGTTGTTGTCACCACCTTGAATCGAGAGTCTCTGTTTGGTACCTACCTTAGTCACGGCAGGTATTGCAACAGCTGAAGATAGTCTTATAGTCTCAATGTTGCCCAGCATCTCAAATCCTTGTAGGGCTGAGGTAGGCGAGCAGCTAGAGAAGGTTGTCACTGCACTTGACGATGAAGGGGGAGAAATGCAGAGTTGTGTGACACAGAGTCGGCGACGCAAGTAGTGCACCTCAAGTGATGGACGGCACCAACAGGGGCGTGAGCTCCACTACTCTATGGTGTACTGCGTTGTCAAGTCTCACTTGAGGCGGTGATGACCTGCGTCAGGTCGTAGGTGAGGCGAGATGAAGCGAGGCGAGTGTCTGTGTGGCGTTCAGCGAAAACCGAATCCCCAGCCAAGAAACAAAGGGCACGCCGGCGGTTTCGACTGTTCTTGTGAAATATGTCTGAAGTCTGGAGAGTCCTTGGCTACCTTAAACCGTGACGGCCATATGCTCCGAATGATGTGCAGGGACAGAGGGGGGATGAAATATAGAGCAGGAAGACCAAGTCAGTCTCACACGCCGTTTGAAAAAAGACTCTTCTCGTGCTCCTTCAAACCAAGCACGCCAAGGTACCCCCATCTGGCCTTCTCACTACCTACCTTGGGTACCTAGGTATCTCCGTCTGATGTGACGGACGTGGTATCGATCTCAAAGTGGACGGCTACCGCTGACCTCACTCCAAGACCCAGCCAATGAATTGCTGCTAGGTCCAAATTGGCGTTTTTCTCGCCGATCACCAGCGCCAAAGTACCAAATCAGATTCCGTCCCGCAGGCCAGCATCCTGCTAGGTAAGCACCATCCTTCAAGAGACTTTCAGAGGGAGAAACGTGGATTGAGTGTCTGGGATCCTCAGGGTTCGGGCGTCCCATTTAACGCATAAACGAACATGTTCAACCAAGGTTCCCAGTCATGCCGCTCGCGAGGAACACATTGCCATTGCGTCCTTCAATGCGCATATGCCATGTTGAAGACACGAGGTACATTGTACTGTAAGTACGGATACCTAGGATAGCCTTTGGCCGTAAGCTAAGAATTGTGCGGTGAGACTATCTTATTACGGGCCTATAGAGGACTTCGTGGTAGCTGCCCAAAGCGCAAGTTGCTATGACAGAAGAAAGTCATCATGAAGCTTATTTACACGACACATGTGTTTTTAAAAAAAAAAAAAAAAAACATAATCACACTGCCTATATACTTCATCGTTCCCATGTACTTACTGGGAGCGTGAGCGGATCAGCTCTTGCTGGCCACGACGTGTTGGCGTGACAGCTCAGCTGGCATATAAACCCTGCCGATCAAGCGGGGTGTGGAAGGGTACCTGCTTGAGGTATCGATCAAGTATCCGTATATATATTCCTCCATGGAACCTCATAGGGACCGGCAACCTATTGTTCCAACTTCCAGGAAATCGGGGCCCGCTTGAGAGCCCACCTCGCTGGGTTGGGCTGGCGTAGAATACAGATACCTTACGTAGATTGCTTTGGTACGGAGTACCTTACAGAATACTGGTAGCCTACCTTACCATGGCCCACATCTGCTTGACTGACAGTATCGCTGACTCGGGCCATCAGTGCCGACGCGGCATTCTGCGAGCGGTAGACTTGTATGATTCTTATGATGCAGCAACTGGCCTAGGCCCTCCCTCTCACCACTAAATCGCTCTCAGTCACCTTTGCATACTGGGTACCTAATTTAGACACCACCGCGTGCGCGAGAAAAACTGTGGACGCAATCCGCGTTTATGAATTATCGACCATCACCGCCATAATGTAGGTAATGCGTTTCTCGACAAAGGGCAGATGCATTTGATGCCATTGGGATGGGCCGAAACCGTGCTAGGCTTCCTAGTACGCTCCCAACAGGCAAAGGTAGGAGATGCTGAGATGTTGATCTCCATAAGCGTATCCTCATAGTTTTTCGACCTTGCAGAGTGCAGACGTCTCAGCGGGGCCAAAATTCTAACTACAGAAGAATGACGCAATGTTCCGGTTTACCTACCAATAGACAATCAATAACTCGCCCATTGAGGAGGCAGACGTACTGCATATTTAGAAGCCTTGCTCGAGAAAAAAGTTCGCCTTCCCTTATCCTGGGACGCCGTTCAATATGTGACAAAACAAACTAGCTGCTCCGGGCCCCCCGTCATCCATCGCTGTCGTCCGCAAAATATCGTGATCGCTCCACTAGCCATTGCTGCGACTACCGCCGAAGGCTATCGAGGCGGGCCTGCAGGTCGTCGTCGCCGGGATCCGCACCTCCGCCTCCGCCTCCTCCAACTGCTTGGGCAATTCTGCCTTCGGGTACGGCCGCCGTTTGCATCCCGGATGGTGTTTCGCCCAGCTACACAATCAAAGTTAGCTAGTAGGCTACCGCTTGCCTCGACATGAGCACTTACCGCCGACGTTAAGTCAACCCCAATCTCTTCCAAAACTTGCTCGACAACTTCCTCGCCTTCCTCCTCGGCACCAACATCCATGGCATCATCCATAACGTCATCCATCATCTCCTGTCTCTGGTCCATAATGTCGTTCTCGCGCTCGAACTCCATGGCGATGCGTTGAAGGGCGGGGAGGTTCATCGAACGGTTCATGGTGCCGAGAGCTTGGGTTGCCCCCTTCATGGCCGTCATCATTTGTTCATTGGTGCGATAGGTCTGTAAGAAACATGCGTCAGTCAAATGTCTTTGAGGCTTTGTAATCTGCTGTGTATAATACCTGCAGCCGGAGAGAGATCTTTTGCAATTGGCTGCGCATGCCGTAGAACTTTTCGATATATCTGCAACGGCAGTCAGCCGGGTTGTGCACTGTATAACCATGGAGTTCATTACTCCTTGCCTTCTTGTCCTGACCAGATCCTTGGCCTGGATCTTGCAAGCGCCCATTTGTCCCTTCTGGGCGCTTTGCTTGATCTGGGTGATGAGCTGCTTCTCCTGCTTCTCCAACTTGGTTCGGACCTGGTCCAATTCTCGGATCGCCTTATCAAGCATGCGCTGGTTCTTGCGCAGACGCTCCGCTGGCGTCATTCGCTTGCCAAACGCCCATTCCAGAATCTAACCAACAGGGTCAGCAGTCGAGTCGTGGCAGGGAAAGGTGCGCGGAGCATACATTCATCGTGGCGGCTGGGCGCGATCGTTTTGGGACGGATGAAATAGTGTGTATCGAGATAGCAGCAACGAGGCGCTCAAGAGGGCGATGGCAGCGATTGTGTCGATATCGTGAAGAGGAGTCGGCAGTGGAGGTTGATTGATATTCAGGTTGCCTGGCACTCACGGAACGGACATGGGTACGTACAATAGCTTGGCATAGCGTTAGGTAACTTCCAAGGAAACCACTGGTGCCAGTGACTGCTCAGACCGATTGCGCTGACCCGCTGAGAGGTCCGAGGTGATTAGATAAGGCGGGTAGGTAGCGTGGCAGCTCGGCCTCAAGATGGCGGCGGCATTTTCCGACTCGATTTTTGAGCCAATGGGCGAAGCGCCGCGACAAAGGGTGGTGGGAAATTTGCCGCTCCGCCCAAAATCATGCGCTGGGAGATCCGTACATGACGAGCCTCCCTAAAAAACATTCTCGACCTGGTACGCTAAAACTTCGCCGCCTCCCAAACAAATCCCCCTTTCTCCTTCACCTATCATACTATTGCTCGACCATGCTGCTTCCACCATCGACCGACCGAAAATGAGCCAAGATTATTTCTCAAAGAAAGGCAAGGCCCCTATGGACCAGGAAGTTGAGAAGGACGAAAACGACGCTCCCTACCAGCCGGTGCCGTCATCGAGCAGGCCACCGCAGTTCATGACCGTTGGATCCGGCTCCACCTCTGCACATGCAGCGCATCTCCAGTCGCTACTCGAAAACGACTCTGGCTACGGCGGCAGCATCGCGAACGGCGACGCCATGACATCCTCTGGCGACCGACACATCCCGACTCCTGTCAATGGCCAGCTCTCCGAAGCTGACCGGCGCAGCCAAGCCGGCGCTATCCACCAGCTGTGGTACAATGCACACAGAGTGACGCTGGGTCGATCGATCAACAAGGTCATTGAACTTTTGAAGGAGTTACAAGAGATGAATGTGTCCTGGCCAGCGCATTATCCTTCTGTCCAGCGAGCAGAGGGAGCACGCCCTGCTCCGTCACACTCGTATTCGACCATCGGCGAAGCCCCCGCGTCTGCCTCCGCCTCGTCCGTTCCGTCGTCTCCGACCGCTCCCCCATCCTTACGACGATCCTTTACATCGCTAGAAGCCCGCGAGAGTGCCGAGTCGAGCAGGGCCCAGGAGAAACGTGCACCGGAAGAGCCGCGACTCGTCACTCCTCAAATCGCTCAGGACTTCTCGGTTCTCAAATTGGACCTCAAGCTGGGCTCGCTTCACCAGGCGGAGCTTGTCCACTCCCTGGAGAAGGGCTCCATTGCCTCCCTTCTGGATGGCAAGATCAGCTCTAGCGTCCGACATCTACTCAACCTCCGAGAACGAATTGAAGATACCTCCAGCAAAGTCTTGATCACTGGTGATCTAAACGCCGGGAAATCGACTTTCTGCAATGCCCTTCTCCGAAGAAAGGTTCTTCCCGAGGATCAACAGCCTTGCACGGCAATCTTTTGTGAGGTTTTGGACGCAAGGGAGAATGGAGGCCTTGAGGAGGTGCATGCCGTCCACAAGGATGCCAACTATGACCGCCATGACGAGAGCACATACGACGTTTACAAGCTGGCGCAGCTTGAGGAGCTTGTGGTGGACAACGAAAAATACACTCAGTGCAAGGTCTATGTGAAGGACGTACGAACCATCGACGAATCTTTACTGAACAATGGTGTGGTGGACATTGCTCTGATCGATGCCCCGGGTCTCAACTCTGATACAACCAAAACGACGGCTGTTTTTGCCCGCCAGGAGGAAATCGATGTTGTCGTCTTCGTGGTATCAGCTGCCAATCACTTCACCATGACAGCAAAGGAGTTCATCTGGGCAGCCGCCGCCGAGAAGGCATACCTCTTTATTGTGGTGAACGGCTATGACAACATCAGAGACAAGAACAGGTGCCAGAAGATGATTCTCGACCAGATTCACGGGCTAAGTCCCAGGACGCACAAGGAATCTTCGGAACTGGTTCACTTCGTCTCGAGTAATGCTGTTCCTACAGCTCCTGCACCGCCAGGCGGACCCTCTGGTGGGGGCAGTGGTGGAGGCGGCGGTGACGACCCCGGTGACGATCCGAAGGGAAAGGGTAAGGATGTTGAGAAGATCCGAGACTTTGAAAACCTCGAGCAGTCGCTGCGAAGGTTCGTTCTTGAGAAGCGCGCCCGATCCAAGCTGGCACCGGCCAAGACCTACTTGCTCAACATTTTAAACGACGTCCACGTCCTGGCCAATGTCAACTCAGAGGTTGCCAACTCCGAACTTGACCGAGTCATTCAGGAACTCAAGGAGATTGAGCCTCAGCTCGAGTCAAGCAGGAAGGCAACTGCGCAGGTTGGCGACGAGATTGATAAGATCACCGAGGGGACGTGCAAGGAGGTTTACGACTACACGCGGACGACCCTCAGCGCGTCTATCGACCATGCTGGGGACAACAACCACGGCGTTCCTTACCGGGGCATCTTTAATGCGTTCGAGTACGCGGAAGAGCTGAAGGAAGCCATGATGTCCTACATTCATGAGTCGGTTGTTGCCTGCGAAGAACACGCAAAGACGAAGACGGTTGGTGGCGTCAATGCCATCAAGCAGCTCGGCATCATGCATCTTGGCGACGACTATCAAAGCCTGGTGTTCCGGCCCGACGTCATGTTCAAGAGAAAGCGCGACTCCGTGGCACGCAATATTGATGTCCCCACTGAAATCTGGGACTTTGTCGACTGGCACACAATAGTCCAGAAGCAGGAGAAGGTGGCAGGTACGGGAATGGCTCTCACTGTCGCAGGAGCTCTTGTTCCTCGCATGATGGGTAGCAGCGGCTGGTTGGACCACGCGTTGAGCGCAGCGAAGATCATGGGCAACGACAACTTGCGTCGCCTCATTATCCCCGCCATTGTTGCAGCTTGTAAGTTTTTCATCTCATTTGTTGCTAGCAGCATATCAAACTAACAATACCCGTAGCGTTCGCAGCCGCCGCCTACATTCTCAACCAGATCCCGAACTCTCTACCCCACCGGCTTTCCACCAAGATTGCGGCTCAGCTGGAGGCAGTCGACTACGTGCACACGAACTCGACCCGCATCTCTGGTTCAGTTCGCAAGGTCTTGCGCTTCCCTGCAGACAACCTCCGCGTCGGCCTCGAGCAGTCGGTCAAGGACCTGGGCAAGCGACGCGAGGAGACGCTCAAGGTCCGCCAGGAAAGCGAGGTCGCGCTCAAATACTTTGGCAACCTCGTCCGTAACAGCGCGCAGCAGAGGACCGTCGTCGAGGGCGTCGACCTGGACGCCCCGCCGCCGGGCGCCGTCGGTGCCGGCCTTCACTAGAGAAGAAAAAGAAGAAGAAATACCCATCTCGATTCCATGTTTATGTGGCAACTATACCTTATGATAGCATGGAAAACGGCGTTTACGTTCGGTTTTTTGACAACGGGTCTCCCCTCAATCGATCCTTGCTCGATTCCTGTACGCATCTATACCTGAGTTTATTCCCCCTTTTCACCCCCCAAAAAGTGTGTTGTTTAGAACACGCGACGATAGGCATATACGTAGAGGCAAAAAAAAAAAAACCCCTAATTCTTGATATACACAAAGTATCATCCATGTCGTTATCGGAGTTCGTAGTCCTCTTTAGTCGGTAGCTTTCCCAGTAAAGGGCTTCAAGGCTCTGTTTCAGCCGGCACTTGAAGCACGAAGGACGGACTTCAGTCCGAACGATGCGTCCGCTCATCTCAGCTCGGGCCTACGGTCCGAATCGACCGACCCGCCGGCGGCGGCACTTTCGGGTGTTCAGGTAAAAGGGACGGGAAGATGAGTGTAATCTCCCTCCTCCTCCGCTGCTTACGTAGCGTGCACGCTGCCGAAGCCCCGTTCGGAGTTGCAAACCGGTGCCAGCTAGCACCGGCGCGCCGCTGGGCCCTTCTTTCAAGTCCCCCCCCCTTGGGCCCTTTCTGAGCTCCCAGTTCTCATAGCATCAGCGCGTGTGTGGTCACTAATATGGACTCTCCGTCCCCACTCCCTCCTCCTGAGATCGTCATCTCTTTTTAAACTTCTATCAAAGAAGCCGGAAAAAGAATTTCACACCTGCGGTGGGCCCTGCGGGTAAGAATAAGTCTCCCGCTCCTGGGATGGAGCTCTCCGCTGCCCCTCTCTTCATCGTTTGAATCGTGCAGAATATTTAGATGAACCCCTCGATTCATGAAGTGCTAAGTGGTTATACGGATACAAGAGTTTGGTAACTGATGAAGACGGCTCTGGGGCAGTCTTAGTTACCTGGGCATCCGTAGTTAGTCAGTAGCTATTCATTCTGCTTTGACCACGCCCTGCAGTGGTTCATGGTGGATGGAATCCGTCCGTTTTGTGCATCTTATTTATGCTTGCAGGAGAGGGCGGGGATATGCGCGCTGCATGCTGCACGCTAGAAGCTGCAGGCACTTTATCTGAGGTTTTCGAGGTCCAGCCCCTCGTGTACTTCGTACACTGGAAACAGAAGGCTTCCCGTTGGTTGCTGGCTGTTCTGTTCCCAAGAGAGAGGTCCGCAATACCCGTACCATGGCTAGCATTGTGTTGAGATGGGATGAGAGAGATCGGAGGTTAATTTGAGCTGCATCGTCCGAAACACTGACAAATGCTAACGGACAACATGCGCTGAAGAGGAGTACCCCTACCTAGTCCTTGCCCCCCTTCAACTGGATAAGGGAACTTCTAGAAAGATGAAGGAGGTAGGAAACGAGTCCGAGAAAGGGAAAGGGCCATTTTTGGAGACGAGAGACCCGCGCATTTGAACTTTGAATGGCTGCGGTAATCGGTTCCTGGGCAGTGGAAGGGAACGGTATGGAGAGATTGGGGTGAGAGATTATTCTCAAGCACGGCCTACGGGGCCTTGTGGTGATTCGACGAACTTTTGATTTGATTCTCATTTCCGCACCTGGGCTTCTTTGGTAGGCACGCCGTGGTGGATTGGAGGGCGGTCATAGCGCAGGGTCGATGGAGGCAGAGGTGTATCCGTACGGTGGATTTCAATTCATACCGCCCTAGGTACTCAGTATTGTAATGTGGATGCATGAGGAGAGGGTGTTCTCGTCGACAACGACGATGGCCTTGGTTCTGCGGCGATGCGAAGGATTCTAGTTTGGAGACGTTGTGGTGTCGTTGAAGCAAGACACAGAAAGCCTTCTCCTCCCTCCACTTCGCAGTCCATCAAGTCACGAATTGGCCAGGGTGGCGTGGGTCAAGCCTGGGGTTTTTGGCTCAGAGTTTTGCTAAAAACAGAAAGAAGAAGGGTCGATCACGTCGTGGTGGCATACTACGTACGGAGATCATTCCGAAGGGACGAACTCTGCTCGTCCCGCCATAGTTCTTCTTATTCCTGAACTTGCGTCACTGGTGTTCGTCGGCAACGGTAACCTCTTTCGCGTTGGAGGAGCGGATTATGTTGCGATAACAAAACAAAAAATAACAATGCGACGTCCACTCGTGTGAATGGATGGTCCAAGAACATAGGTGCCCCCGGAGACCCATTCGTCGCATGTCGTCCAATTTGCGACGCGGGTATCGCGAAGCAGTTTCAATATCCCGTGCTTCTTGGGGCCTCTCCTTAGTCAAGAGGCCATCCAGCTGCCCGCATCATCCAGTGAGCGTGGCATACATGTGCAGCTTACTCAGGTTCCGAGACTCCGGTGGCAGCATTGGACGTTTCATTGGCCTCCCTCCCCCGGACCTGCCACGTTTTTGTCCGTCCGCTTATGCTGGGCGTATCTTTTCTTAGATTCTTTTTTGTCTCTTGTCATTCTGAGTCTTGACCGGTGTCTCGACCTGACTCTTTCTGTCCTCCCTCGGGGTGATTTTCGCGGCCAAAATAGTGTCAGAGAGGAACTTACGTGGGCTGGCGGCGAACGACAAGATGGCGTCGCTTTGTCCCCCCCTAGCAAGCTTTCCAGTAGCGGCGAACTGTGGCGCAAAATGACGGCAGAGGATAGGGGGCACTGGAACGCAATGTTTTGTTTGGTCATTGGCCAAAAAACCCAACGGTTCTCGTTGGAAAAGCCCCCATGCAGACTCACCGGGCTAGTCTTGGGACGCATCAGTTTGTGGCTAATGAGATGCAGACAAGGGCCAAGAACCCCCAACTTGCCATCATCAACAGAGTTCCTTTCGCTCAGCGATCAGTTCGAGTTGGAGGGGAGCGATTTGCTGGAGAACGGAGATGCCCCGTGCGTTACTGACCAATGACAGCATACGATTGGCTACTAGGATTGGCATCATCGTTGTTGGCATCGTCCATCCGCCTCCCTTCGTCTTCGTCTTGCTCTAAAGAATTCCGCGCTTTCCCCCTTGCCGTGTTTACTTGTATCCCAAAGTTGATCCTCTTCCCCTAAGCCCGCCAAAGGGACCCCCAAAGGGAGAAGATCTAGGGGGCCCGAGGCCGGGTGGCGCAAGGTGCTTTAGTTGCAGCTGCAGGAGCGGTGCGGGTGTGGTAGGTGGTTAGTAGTACGAACTTGAAGTTGATGTCCAGAGACTGGAAGCAGAGGGGTTTACTAAGCCAATAAGCCAATTGAAGGCGGGGTATCTGTACCAAGGCATTGGAGGAAGGCGGCAGTGGCACACTCTTTTTGGTGCCCTTCCCTTCCCTGCCAGCCTGCACTGCTGTACGGAGAGACACAAAGTTGGGGTTCCCTTCGTTGAGACTTGTCAAGTAAAAGAAGTTCTGTCGCTTCTTTCTCCTATCCACCCCCCTCCCCTTTCTTTCCACCCCGTACCTTACTTTTTCTACTGTCAGCTTCGATCGTCCACGAGACGCTGCCTCAATTCGCGACTTCAGATACACCACCGCAGCTCTACCTAGATAGTTTTTCCTTCCCTCCTCCTTATCCTTATCATTGTTCCTTCCCCCCTAGGTACCCTACCTTGCCTTCTTTTGGACCCCCTGTTGTCCTCAACCTTCAGACCCGCAGCTCTTCAGTCGTACTAATCGGATCCAAATTCCAATTCTTCATTTGCGCCTTTCTTTACTTTGCTGCCCTTGCCGCGGTCGAGCCGTAATTACCCTTCTCTCCATTCATGCTACCTTGCTACCTTAGCTACCCTCACCTCCAGAGGTGCCTCGCCGTTCGTACCTCTCCCTCTTAGTCTTTCCTTTCATTACCTACCTTGGTACTTGGTGCGCAGTATATACTGCCTGCTGCACTGCATTCTCATCCCGCGCGTCGACCACCACCTCACCTGCAGCAAATTGGTGCAACAATACGACTTCACACACACCCCCCCCCCCCCCGCGAGCCGGCAGACGCGAACTGGACCAGACCGGACTATCACTGCCTTACATAGGGCCTACCTGCACTACATTACAGTAGACAGGCGCCCAAAACACCCCTCCCGTCCTCTCTCTCCCGGCATCTACCAAGAGGTTCCCCTTGTCGAGGTCCGTGGCTCAAGCACGACCATTTCCCACTCTCTCTTTCCTGTCGCATTTCCCATAGACGACCCAAATCTCCCTTCTCAACCCTCGTCTTTACAACAAAGGGCCAGACACGCTTTCTTCTGCCTGTGTCGCTTTTTGGTGCTGCCCCTCTTTCTTCACGACACTTCTTGGTGCCCATGTCCGGCTTGCCCATACCCCTTGGCCTGCTCTACATGTCGCCGCCTTTGCCGCTGCTGCTGTCGCCGCTGCACTCTTCAGCCTTACCCCTGAAAATCGCAACCGCCATCGGTCCGGCCTACTAAGCGACAAAAAACCCCCTTCCGAACCACTTTTTGGTCCTCCGTCTGAACCCACCCGATTTCGCCCTGCGGCCCTCCGGATACCAGCCTCAGCTACGTCCGTACAGCTCCCGGCTCCCAGTCGCAGCGCAAACCTTGCCCACCACGCGCCCGAGACGACTACCGACGTGGACAACGACGACCACAAACCCTCCCTTTGTGCTATCCGTAGCTCGCCAAGGCGACAGGGAGGATGTCGCTCAATGGTCTGGACGACCCCAAGGTCAAGGAGGCCCATGACGCTGCCGTTGCTGAACCAGGAGGATGGTATGATCCCCTCCCTTTTATTCCCACTGTCGTAGAGCGCACAATCATCTCCTCCGTGCCCGTCACCTATTGCCAAGTCGGAGCCGCCCACCGGCTACACGCCGCTTGCTCTTATATATCTCACCATGCAAATCCCCTTGTCTCATTGCTTGCCGTTGAGGCGCCGTTGGATTCACGTAGGCTGACCAACGTCATGAACTATCGCGCCATATAGGTTCCTCCTCAAGTATGCGAGTCGCGATGACGTTGAACTACTGGGCCGTGGGAATGGTGGCATTGTAGAGATCCGGAACAACATCGCCCAATTCGAGAATGACAACGAGGACCACTCGCCCTTATTTGGCTTTCTGAGGTACCGACGCCGGAACGTAATCATCAAATATCTTCCCGAAGATTGTTCTCGACTTGTACAAGGTGGGTTTGTCTCCAAACAGTGGCGCATTATCTTGGGTTATCCCCCATTCCATTGGGAGATGAAGCTGACCTGACCTCCTATGCGTCACTTGCAGCGCGAGTCACTGTCCATTTCAATGCCGTGTGCGAGCGGTTCGCGCCATACAACACCGATTTCTCGATAGCTTCCGCGAAGGAGCTCAAGGACACAAAGTTGTCTGCCGCCTGCTCCTTGCACGCTGCGTCTGGATCGACCTCATCCTCAACAAGCTCCTTGAGAAGGAGACGGTTAATGGAAATTGCAGAAGAGGAAGAGGAAGAACAAAGAGCAAGCAAGCGGAAATCTACTGGTCCCGAAAACCTGGTAGAGGATGCGACGGAGGAATCGACAGAAGCCCCGAAATCGCCAATCGAAGGCCCGCCCGTGACGCTGAATGCCGAGCTCGCAAATTCGCCAGAAGAAAGCAAGTTTTCTACATCCTTGGAGCCGCCCGAATTTGTTGGCGCCAGACCGCCTTCGCCTTCGAAATCGGTAGACGAAGGACGCCGCATGTCATCGCAATCCCTACGACCCGAACTTTATTCTTCTTCATCTTATACCTATGGCAAACCCAGAGTCAAACTTGCCCCACGACCATCTCTCGACGTTGCCGGCCGTGCTCGCACAGGAACCGCTGCTGTGGGGCCCGCATTCAGACCAATTTCGCAGATGCCCTCTGGCTTCAAGCTATTTTCCAAGGGTTCCAAAAAGGGAAAGTCCAAGGAAAATACTCTGGATCCTGCCGAACCAGCCCACCCCGACGAAACAATCGAAATCTCCTTGGCCGCCACTTCAATACCCCTACCCGACGGGGACCCCATTTCCCAGGTTGATGAACTCGTTAGGCCACACACGAGTTCTGGGCGACCCACAACGAGCTCGGGCGCTTCAATTAAATCCGCGATGCCGTCCTTCACCACCCTTTCCACCAAGCAAGTCATGACGCCTGAAAAGGCGCGTCTGATGAAGGCGATGCAACTGAGGGAAAAGAAGAAGAAAATGAATCAACAAACCGCCTCTACCCCTGTCGTCGATGCCCCTGCCAAGGAGGTTACCTCGGAAAAGGTTCAGCCTGTCGAACACATTGAGGAGGTACCCGAGCAGACCCTTGCTACCGAAGCGGATGACGAAGACGGCGAGAAGCGACTTTCGGTCTATAAGGCGGATTCTGGTATTGTTGTCAACGCATCATCGGTCTCGATCCACACCGACGTGGCCTCTGAGTTTACTCAGAGCGACTCTCACCCTGCGTCACCCATCATGGCGTCTTCCGAACCCGACCAGTCGACCAAGGCATCGTCGCTATCCGAGTCCACCGAAGAGACAGTAAAGGAACTCGAGGATAAGAAACTTGATGCTGATACGGACACGATTGAGGCGCACAAGGACGTCGAGCCGGAGGCGGGGGTTGAGCCGGCTTCTATCCACGAAAAGGCTGCTGCCCCTGAATCAAAGGAGCCCGCGGCTGATATCAAAGAGAAGCAATATGATGCCGAGCGGGTCGTTGACTTCATCCCCACGACCCAAGACGAAGTTACCGACTCCCCCGAAAACGCCCCAATAGAAGTTCCCGAACCCAAGCAAGCCATAGTTGCCGACGAGAACCCGACCGAGTACAAGGAAGAGACCCCCGAGGCCGCTACACAAGAACTTGCCACTGGGCGACTGGAAACCCCCGAGGTCGCCCAGCCCATGGAACAACAAATTGAGACTGAGAAGGTAGCAGTCAAGGCTCAACAATCCAAATTATCGCCCACCTTCAGCTTACCAATTTCCAAGTTTTCCACGAGCCCAACTCAACCAAAGCCTCCCGTCGAGCCAACAAAGCCAGAGCCCCTGGACGTTGAGAAACGTGACACCGTTCCCGCGCAAACGGCAGTATCGCCGAAATCGCCGCTATCTCCTCGTTCGCCAGGACTCAAAGTTCCTCGATCTAAGTTTTCGACGCAGGATCTCAGGTCAGCTGCGAGTTTCGAAGTGCCCAGCATTGTCTCGCCTGAAGAACAGCTATCCACAGAACCATTGCCTACCGCTGTAGAGGAGCACGGCAGTGTTAGTGAGGAAGTTCCGGCAGCCTCGGAGGTGTCCAAGCGAAGATCCCTCGTTCAACCGATCCGGACCGATCTGGAAGTACCTGAGAAGCGGGCAGACGCCAGTATCTCCGACGATGAGGACTTGATGGATGAACTGCACTCTGCTACGGTTGAGCAAGCACAGCACGTCACTGTTTCCAAATCGCCTATCACCCCAGTCTTCCCAAGCCCGGCAATCCAGAACGCCAGCAGGCCGACTTCGCGCGGCGTTGTCCGCACTATTTCGAACCCAGTGCGGGGGCTCACAGCTGCAGATGTAGCACAGGCCCAAAGCCAGAGATCGATCTCTTCTGGCGCAGCCTTTTTACACAAGATTACCCAGCAACAAGGCAACAATCATTTAAAGCCAAACCAGCCCAACAAGATCGGATCCAGCATATCCCAACGTATCAAGGCCCTGGAAAAGCTATCTGCTCATGCACCCGGTGTTGAAGCGGACACGAGCAGTCTGAAGGCTCCGAGGCCATCTTCAGCATTCTTTGCCGTGAAGAGGGGAAGCGTTCGTGAGTCGCCATCTCGCTCCCCTTCTGTTGTCGATGGGACGAGGCCTTCGACCCGTGGCGCCAGTCCTGTGCCCCCTATCATGACTGATTCGCAGGAGTCGTCTCCAGAGGCAGCCGGCCGAGGTAGGTCGGGATCCATGGCAAACAGGCTCTCGATGTTTGAGATGCCTGGCAGCAATCCGCCCAGGAGTCAACCAGAATCCATCTCTGTTACGGCGCGAATCATTCGCGACCCCAGCCAGACCGGCAAGGCGCCTGAGCCGCCAAAAAATCCTTCCGAGTTCGAACGACTTGATCTCAAGGTGTCGCCGTTGGTTGTCGATCATCAGATGGCCGCACTGCCGCTCCCGCCAGCCAATCTGGCCAAAGTGGAATCCTCCAAAGAGACCATTCAAGAACGAAGACTGTCAAAGGAGAAGCGCCGCTCTCAGTCCATCGACCCCAAGGACGATGTCGAAGAAGCGCCGCGACGCTCATCTCTTAGCATCATGAGGGACTTCATCAAGGACCGTCGCAAATCACTCACTTCACCGTCCGCTGAAGCGTTGACCGCCCCCCTACCCATGTCACCTGGCTCAAAGTCGCCCTCAAGACCACCCTCGACTCATGCAAACTCTGGTGGTCGCCGTCTCTCGATCAGCAGCCGTCGGTCTTCCATTAGCAAGGAGAACGACATGAGTGGTGCCATGTCTCCGTCCATGTTCACTGAGGGCAGTGGTTCTGGCGACGACAGCAAATCCACTGCTAGTGACAAGAAGAAGGGCCGCGCAGGTCGTTTCATGCGTCGCCTTTCGTCATCTCTGAGCAGTGCTGGGCGTGGCAAGACCATGACCCCCACTGCCATCTCTCCCACAGTTCAGGAGGAGGACGCATTGGAGGTGGCCCGCCTCCAGCAGCCCACCATCGAGGCATTTATGGGAGACGTCAACGTCCAGTTCCCAGACAACCTGCTGTGGAAGCGTCGCAGCATGTGCCTTGACTCCCAGGGGTTCCTGATCTTGAGCGCCGTCGCAGCCGGCACCGCCGCCAAGAACAAGCAGCCTACAGGTACCGGAGTCAAGAGATACCATCTCTCGGACTTTCGGGTGCCCTATATTCCCGACATGGAAATCCAGGAGCTGCCTAACAGTATTTGCCTTGACCTAGTCGAGGGCTCAGGCTTGCAGGTTGCGTGCGAAGATCGCGCCGGACAGATGAATGTATTACACAGTGAGTCAAGCCCATACCCCCAGCGTTTATAAAGCCTATGCTCACAAGTTTGCAGTTCTTCAAGACGCGCATCAAAGTCATAGTTCCTTTGGACAGTAAATACGACATCGACACCCACATTACTTCATCAAACTTTAGGACATCCTTTTGCCCGCCCTTTTCTATTATACCCCAACCTTTTTTCCAACCTTTCCCAAGCACCCATTACCAACCGGCCAACCGCCTTTCCTTTTTGTCACCATTCTTTTTGACCATTGACCTCGAGTCGTTCGCATGGTCCATTTCCTGCCTCACCAGCCACCACATACACCCAATACCAAGCGAGAGCAATGAGCAAACAAAGAACGGATGCGCTTGCTCAACTACATTACCTACTACCCACACTTCACACATACGCCTCACACGCCTTCTACTATTAATAGGCAATAATTTTATGGCCCAACGCCTTTTACACTCACCTTTGTGATTTCCTAATTCTTGCACTTCGCTTCAGTCAGGAAATGATACCACCCCTCAACCGGGGATTATTCAGTTTGGAGACGAGTCTTTGGAAGGAGGGCCGGTGTGTGATTGGAGAAGAACCATTTCGACGACCGGCCCGGAGAGACGGACGAGAAAATTTGAAAAGAGGATCGCGTTTGTAGGACCACATCTCGAGTCGGTTGGCGCGTCCGATGCCGCCCTGTGTAGGAGACTTCTTGATTGTACATACTACCTACCAACTCGGCGGAAGCAGCGCTGGAAACGCTATGTTTTTAGATGAACTCGGTCGGTCCTCTGTGGAGGCGTCAATTGAGATGCAGATATCTGACTTCACGCTGGTGCTCCTTGCTTGTGGTAATTTCAATGATAATGTGAAGCATGTGGGCCTCGCCGCTATTTTGGTAAAGATTCGACTCTGGGGGAGCAAGACAGACTTTTGATACTTTACCAGCTAACGGCATTGCATAGGGACGGGCAGGGGGGAGGGTCATCAGTTGCGATGGCTCATTCCGAATTCGACTTTCAGACCTGTCACGGCTTCATAAAGGCTTCCATGGAAGTAAAGCTTGACAATCCTTCTGCAGCTTATTACTATCGCCCAAATGCCGATTGGTTCGGTCATCTTACTCGGAAGTATCAGTCATGGGCATGCTGCCAAATCCCCAACTATCTCCAGTCGATATCGGGACCTTCTGCCTATACCGTCCTCCCATACACTGTGAACCGATTCGGCAGCAGCTTGGCTTTTACCATATCCACCATTGTCAATTATCTCGTCTCCAAACTACGCACGTACACACTCAGCCAAGCTGCGTACTACCGCTCTTTTCTCCTAGCCAGGTTTCCCTCCGTCTTTCGTGTCTTGGAGTGTCCCCCTACATATACCCTGCTCGTATTGGGCATGGTATAAGCTGTGACTGGGTTTGATATCAGTAAACTTTTTTCCCATCTTGTCTTTTAAGTTGGTGAGAGGAAGGGCAGACGAAGGGG